CACACAGCACTATATAGCAGAGCATAGCAGCACACGGCACCGCATAGCAGAATATAGTAGAGCATAGCACAGCGTATAGCAAATGCAGTGGGTCGGTCGTCTACTGCTTATATGCAAAATGCAAGTGCATAAAGCATTTGCAACTGCACCGCATCTTCCATGGGCAATTTAATTAAATTGTTGCTGGCAATATTGCTGCTTATGGTCTCGTACAACAATTGTTGCTTGTTGCATTGTACAACAATTTTATGCGAATGCAAAAAATAAATTTATACTTAAATTTTTTTTTTCCTTTTCTCTTTCCTTACCCACTGTTTTGTCTTATTTTGTGCGAATTCGTATCTGAAATCGTTTGCCATGCAAATAAATGCATTCGCCAGCGCAATGCATTACGCGCTCCCCTATTTACGCCGTTGCAACATTAGCTGCAATTGCCAATTGTTGCAAGCAGGCACACATGGAGTGGTTGCAATTGCAGTTTAAAATCTTTTGTTTTTATTTTCTTTTCCTTCTCAGATATGTGTTATATATATTCTTTTTTTTTTTTTTTGGAAGTAAGGTAGTGCGGCGGCTATAGCGTTTATATTTTTCATACTCAACTGCTTGCTACCTTATGGCTTATTTGCTACTCGTACTTTCGTTGCTCTGGCAGAGCAGCAAATTATGTTGCTGTTGCTGTTGATGTTGTTGCTGCTGTTGTTGTTGGTTATGTTGGAGATGTTGCTCCTGAAAATAATTGCTAATATTTGTCGTTGTTGATGTCGTTTGCGTTACTGCATCTTTCCGGATTTTTGTGTTTATGCTTCATTTAACTTATGAGCTGATTTGTATGCGTTTGCTCATGTGTGCAACATTTCATTGCAGGCAAAAAATGTTCCTATGGTTTTACCTCTCGAAATTAGCAGCTCGTCTGGATTGCTGCTCCAAACCGCGTTGCATATCTTATGCCAGCGAGTGTAAAATTAGTATAAAAATAAAATCCTCTTTTTTTTTGCTTAAATGAATTATGCAGACGCGCATATAAAAAATTTGTCAAGCATTTATTTTAAAATTATAATTTTTTTTTATTTTTTTTTACTTTTGGAATTATTTTGATTTTGTGTAAATCTGTTCGTTCCCACCAGCGTCTGTACGCCCACACGCAAGACTTCGACTTCAACTTATTTTGCTTAGGTTTCCGCAGTAAATCGGCAAATTTTTAATTCCAATAAAAATCAAAAAAAAAATGGACAAAAATGTTAAACTCCAAATTATAAAATTTTATCGTTTAATTTAAATCAATTAATTTAAATGCAAATTAAATTTGCTTAGCGTATTGCTCTTGTCATTGTGTTTGTTGTTGTGACCGTGCTGCTAACACTTAGTATGTCGCGTCTACAGTAATTTGATAGTTGATAGTTTTATGACTTCGACTTAATCAGAATTTCTGACCTAATTTGTAGTTTTTAAGATTAAAAATAGAAAAATATCTTTTTTCATACAGCAACTAGTCTCAAGTTATAACTGGAGTAAGTTGCAGCTAAATGAGTTCAAAAGAGATAAAATTTTTTAAATATCTCTTAGGTACCAGCTGTGGAAAATACATGTAACTATCGTAAATATTTCAATCAGTCACACAGACATTGATTATGAATATGTAAAAGTTTTGTATGGAAATTTTATCTTCAAATTATTTTAAAATATTTGGTGCAGTTTACTAGCACTTTATGTTTTGAAATTACATATCATTTGATATTTTTATCATTTTTATTTCATATTTTCAGTCATTTCTATATCGTGCTTTTAAAGCCGTTAGTAACTAATGCTAGTAACTTTATTTACTGACAATTCATTTTTTCACTTGCATTTAATTCGTTTTTTTTATGTTTATGTCGTGTTTTTAGTGTAGCTAATTAGCACTTTCTTTTTTGTATCACATTCCATCGCATTTTTTTTCATATTAACATCAACTTTTCAGTGCAGTTAGCAGACACTTTATTTTTTTGAATGCATTGAATATTTTTTAACTTTAATTTACTGTTTTTAGCGCAGTTCAGCAGAGCAGTATCATTTAAAATTTATTATTATTTTGTATTTTTAGTGCAGTTAGCTAAGTTAGGTAAGGTTATACCGGCAATCACAATAGGGTAGGGCTATTGGAGTATTAGGGCTATTGGCCCATTAAGTTTCCATACATGGAGAAAACTTAGGGTGTGAAACCACCAAGAACCTAGAAGCTTAAAATGCTGTTGTATAGTAAGCTAAATTAGCAAATTATGCTTTTAAATTCACTTTATTGAATATTTTTCAATTTTTATTTTGTATTTTTAACTTACAATTTAGTTTCAACTTGCATTTACTTCGTTTTTTAATGACGTGTTTTTTAGTGCGGCTAACTAGCACTTTACATTTTTTTATTATATGCTATTGGATTATTTATAACATCTTTTCATATTTTTTTTCATAATTTGTATATCGTGTTTTATTTTTTAAAACTTTTTCTCCTATTTTTAGACTAATTAACTGGAAATTTTTTTAAATTGCATTTTATTTGATTTTTTACTTATATATATCACATACTTGTATTTTAGTCTAACTAATAAAAATTTTATTTCTTAATAAGCTTTCTGTTATTTTTTTTTCATTTTTTTCCGTGTTCTTAGTGCAACTAGCAAGCATTTAAATTGCATTCCATTGCAATCCTTTTTATTTTTATTACGTTTTCTTAGTGCATCTAACTACCACATAATTTTCTAAATCACATTTCAATGATTTTTTTTTCAGTTTTCATTTTAATTTTTTAAGTGCAGTTAGATAGCAATTTAAGCTTTATATTGTATTTCAGTGGTACATAAAAATATTTACTCATAAATATGTCCACTTTACGAAGACTCTCAATAACCATTTTAATTACTTTATTAAATGATGACTGCTATTTGCTTTAGTTAGGAAATACCTAAAAGAAAGCAAAAGGACAGCAGATATTTTGCTACATAGGTAGTACTTGGGTTTAACTTCTTAAATTTAAGCAAGATCTATATTATTGATGCAATTTATTATAAATTTGTTGTAGTGATATTGGGTAGAGCCAGTATCATCATCACCTTTTGCGGTAGTCTATGTTATATGTCTTTTGTTAACAATTAAAGAAATTATAGATTTTTACTATATATAAAAATATACTAAAATAGAAAGAAGTAGTGAAAGATAGTCAATATATGACCGAAATAGATAGAAGAGTAGAAAAAGTTGTTGCTAAAAAAAAGGAAAAAAAGTAAAGAAAATGATGGAGAATAATGGATGTAGATAAAAGCAAATCAAAAAGTAAAAAGTACCGAAAAAGAAAAAGAGAGATGTGAGTAAAATATATTATAGAAGAGTAAAAAGAAAAAGAAGTAGTGAAAGGATACAAAGAAAATAATAAAGAACTAAATAGAGCGTAGAAGAGAATATTAAAAGAATAAAAATTATAATATGAGGTAAATAAATTATTGAAGAGGTGGACAAAAGCACGTTTTACTTTTAGAGAAAAAATGAATAAAGCAAGAGAAGGAAGGATATCTACAAAATACAAAAATCATCGAAGCTAACATTGTATTTCACTTTATATATACTTTATGTTGGGGCTGATTCTATTTTTACGACCTTTTTATTAAGATTTTAAAAATCAATCCAATGTTGTGTTCGGTTTAAGACAGATAAAATCTTAAATGCATTGTTTATTTTAAATGGACTCATATCAAAAGTAAAAATGTCACACAGTTTTTTAGACAAAAGTGCATGGCATTAATATTGAATATCTAAAATACGATACAATAATAACCATGCAGCTCTAATCCTGAATTAAGAAAATTGATTTGAATAACAGAAGCAAAATCATACTTATACGTGTATATATGAGTAAACACAATTAAACTAAACTATATAGACATATGGGTTAGATTAGATTAATCTGGCTAACTGTAAGCCACGAGTAGATCGATTGGTTCCTGGCTATACCAAATAGACAGACTATTAATATTTTGAAGCAGTTATTCCTACGGATTTAATTAAAGACTGCTTACATCTTTATTCCTGACACATGGCCACCAACTATTATTTTAAAGATTTTTTAAAGCCTCTTTTTGTACTAGACTTTAGTGAGATTAAAACCTAAATTTTGGGTGCCGTAGTTCATATGTAGTGTGCCATATGAGCGCATATATTGAGATATAGGAAAGCAGAAAAAGTTGCTAAAAATATCTGTCTTTACTGAAATTCGTTACTAATTGGGTGTGTCCGAGAAATCAGAATAGTGCCAATTATATTACTCCTCGCTGCTTAATCTATACATTTAATAGATTGAATGTATAATGTATGTGTATAAACAATTATGTTAAATGTACATATATTTTTTCACACATGTACAAAAAAAAATAACAACAAATTTGCAGTAACAACGATGTTGTTTTGTTCATTTATAGCTGTTCATTTACATATATCTACGATAATTATTTAAGTTGATAGTGAGAAACAGTAAGCTATTAATTGCATCTGATTTATTTCAAATATTGTAAGCTTATTATTTATTATTTATAATGTAACCATTTGTGTGAAGTTATTTCAGTAAGTAATGACAATTATATTAATGTCTGATTTAATTAACTTATTAATTAATGTTAAGGATATTTAATTTAATGCTTTAAACCTTCAAAATACGAGTGGCCTATTTTGATTTGAATGAAGTTTTTAATAAACTATTAAAAATTAGTTAATAAAAATTTTAAAAAATTAAAATTCGACAATAAGTTCTTTTAACCTTAACTGCAAAATCACAATTAATAAAGACGATAATTATTACTTAAGATTGTAATATATTTTTTTGCAGTAGTAAAGAATTTTAATAAAGTTTACAATTTTATTAATTCAAGGTAACTTTATATTAATTCACTTTATAGTTATATATCATATTTGCTTTTTTTAATTTTTAATGGAACTTATTATGTTGAGATCATAAAAATTGTAATATATTATAAACTTACCATTGCCATTTGCTGATTTAATTCTGCAAAGATAAAATTTTTTTAAATTTATTAATGAAAAGAACATATTTTTGCATATTTCACAGATTAAAAACAAAAGACTTAAGCGACAAACTTTTCGGACTTGAGATTGGTTACGAACGTCAGTGTTGGAATCAATTTGCACGATAAAAAATAACAAATTACAGTAAAATTGTTGAGATATGTGGGTATGTATCTAGGTATATGGTTTTAAAAAAATAAAATATAATATTTGTGACATTTCATTATCGAAGCAATAAAATTGCATTTAACTCACTTGCAGTGTCAGTACAGCAAATTCTACAGCAAATAAAACGAAAACTGCAATTGCAACTGCAAACGAGAACAACGGCAGCAACAATTATTTTGTTTACAACATAATATTCCGATTAGATTAGAAAAAGTATTAGTGAGGCTTAGAAAAAAAATCGTATTATACAAATACTGTATTAATTCGTATAAAGGAGATAAATAAAAAGTCGGAAAAAAATCATATAAAAGATTAGCAGCAAGAACTGGATTAGAACCACTTTTTGCGGTGCACTTCGGAATGCATCCGCCAGTGAGCAGGAAAAATGTCGCAGCTGCTATTATGCCAATGGGTTGGGATGTGCGCTATTTATTGCTTCGATTGCTGAGATGTTGCAAAGTGGAATTGCATTAAATGCAATAGCTGGCAATTGTTATATCAATGGTAATAGCGATTGCCACAAAGCACCAATACCAGTGCTTCGCGCAACACGTACTCTTATGAGGCAGAACTCGCATTATTAGTGGAACCAATGTCAGTGGAATAGCGAAATACGTATAAAATGAAATGAAGTTCAATGAGATTCTTATCTTTTGGACAGGAAAGGCAACGTGAGTGATTTAATTATATTGAACAAGTGTACAAAAGAGGTAGTTTGTTCAAAGACATGTTTATGGTATCTGGTAAACCATAAAAGTGTCTATAACTGCAGCAATGTTGCTGCTTTCGAAAGGCTAACAATTGCTGAACTTTATGCTTTTCCTGTGTGAATATAAAAATCATAAAATGAAACTCTTTCGCAATGGGAATCACACACTTTTGGTATTTGGAACAATAAATCAGAATAAGTTCGTAGGTAGATATGTAGAACTAATTGTAAATAATATAAAGCTTTATTGTAATAATATTTAATTGAATTTTAAGTAATATAAGTTATTTTTATTTGGCAGTATAAATAAGTAAAATAAGTCAAGTAGTTTAATTTTCTGTTCATCCTTCAAACTATTAGATTTCAGTGTTATAAGAAAAAATAATATTTTCCAATAACAACTTTTGATTTTTAATTAATTATTAAATAATAAAAGTAAGAAGCTAATTCATAATAAAACTTAATTAAGTCAAGTACTTTTGTCTTCTGTTCATCCTTTAAACTATTAGGTTTCAGTATTATAAGAAACAATAATATTTTCCAATAACAATTTTTGATTTTTAATTAATTATTAAATAATAAAAGTAATAAGCTAATTGTTAATAAAACTTAATTAAGTCACGTACTTTTGTCTTCTGTTCATCCTTTAAACTATTAGGTTTCAGTGTTATAAGAAACAATAATATTTTCCAATAACAATTTTTGATTTTTAATTAATTATTAAATAATAAAAGTAATAAGCTAGTTCATAATAAAACTTAATTAAGTCAAGTACTTTTGTCTTCCTTTCATACTTCAAACTTATTAAGTTTTTAGATTGGAATTATATATATATAATTTATATATTAATAAAAATAAAATAAAATAAAATAAAATTTGAACTAGTTTCATAATAAATTATTTCTTAATTATTATTTTTATAAACGATCACTCAATATATATATCAATATACATATATATATATAATCAAGTTTCCAAAAACAAATTGCTTTGTAGCACATGAAATAATCTTGTGCTCTCTGATATTATCTAGTCCAAGTTTTTGTGTTCGAATTTTATATTGTCTTATAATCATTAACAAATTGTTTTTTAACGATTTTTCTTCGTACTTTACTTCTTTTGCAATAGGAAATATTTAGTAACAATTAGACACGCCTTTGCTATGTATTAGCTTTTTATTATCAACTTATTAAAAACCATAAAAATATCATGATTTTTTAGAGTAGCTCAAATTACCCTGCCAGTTCTGGCAAGAGTACTAAAATTAGTTAATAATGATTTTTAAATATTGTAAACATCTTAACATTACCAAAGAAAAAAAACTTTAAATTATCAAATTGAAATTTCATTCCAAATTACAGAAAAAAAAACCTTGGGTTAGTTAATAAAGACAACATAAATTAAGTTTTCAATTTTACATAAAAGACAACAAAACATAAAATTTTTATTAACTTCTTCGTTATTAAAAATAATTATCTTACTTATTTTTAATTAAAAAATTGTAAAATGTTTAATCAAAATATAAGGAAGCACAAGAATTATTTATGGTTTTTCTGTAGCTCCTATCATCAAATCAATTACTTGTCCTCCATAGAAAAACGTAAGAATAGTTAAAATATAGTTAAAACTACAAAAAACAGTCTAATATAGTATAAACTGATGCGAATAAATATGAACACTCTATATATTGAAGTTTTTATCATTAGGATCAAATAAGAGGTCTCTGCAAGTGCTTCTGGAACGTAGGATTAGTTTCAAATAGCACCTTAGAATAAAAACAAATAATAGCAAAAGGCCGGATACTGATAAGAATCTAGGAACTCAAAGCAAAAACATAGGACAACTTTATTTTATGAAAATAACTCGTTAATCTTAGTTGGTGAACAATAGGTTTAAGGCAGAAAATAAGAGAATGGACAACAAACGGGGTACTGAATCCTAGAGAGCAGAATTTTGCTAGTAATACTTCATATTAATTCACGACCCCGAAAAAATAGTCCGCCTTTGGATTGAAAAACAAAATGTCAGCTGTTAAGGTTATCCCAAATTCGGGAGAGGATAAAAACTACCCAACCCGTAGTCTCCACTTGCCTTAGATTAAGACCTGGATAGTGATGGAGAATATGATTAGAGATCTCACCCGTTTTGAAACAGAGACGACATTCTGTCTCTTCAGACAGTACCATCTAATTAAGATAATCTGGCATGCTCTAGAATTCGAATCCGCATAAAAAAATTCGATTTCAATTTAAATTCACATTTTGGTGCTCTGCTTTTTTCATTTCATTTGCGATTTCACAAATGAAATCGAATGAATTTGCTTGCTCTAGAAACCGAATCCGCATAAAAACATGTGATTAAAACCACATATCGAAATAGTTGTGAATTTAAAAGTAGTGAAAATAACATGTAAGTATAATTACATTTTTTTTGAATTAAATCAGTTTCAAGTTATGTAAATAAAGAAAATAATAATTTTGATAATTTTTTTTTTAATTTTAAGCTCCAATAAATAAAATAAAATATTTTAAGAATTTATTCATTTTTTTGTTTTAATAAAAATTTTCCTTAAATACTACTAACGCAAGCTATTAGCAATGTCATCTCTTATTGTATTTGCTTCTCTACTAGCCGATATTTCACTTAGTTCCTCTTCATCTTTATTAGCAAAGTGAACGTCTTCGACATCCTGTACCTTGTAGTATCTACAAATATTATGTAGCGCACAGCATACATTAATAATTTTGGAAACTTTTTCGGGCTGGTATTGAAGAAGTCGGGCTAGACACCTGAAGCGGCTTTTCAACACGCCAATTGCTCGTTCAATAACATTGCGTGCAGATGCGTGTTTCACGTTAAATTTATGCTCCTGCGTTCCAGGCTGCGGATCTCTGTATGGCGTTAGCAAAAATGGCTGAAGGGAGTAGCCAGCATCTCCTAAAAGCCAACTTCCACGTTCACCGCTCTCATAGCACTGGCAGAAGTAGTCGTGCGCCTTGCTTACGCACCATATTAGTGAATCGTGGCTAGAACCAGCGCGCCTAGCATTCACTGCTCTAATCGTCATTTTGTAGTCGCAAATCTGTACAAAAGAGTAGCATATTGAAAAGAAATTTCAAAAAGAACTTGAAAGTCCTTACTATCATGGCGTTAATGCTGAAATAGCCTTTCCTATTATAAAAAAGGTGGTGGTCACGATGAGGCTTTGTCATTCTTATATGTGTTCCGTCCACACAACCTACCACACCCGGAATCCCGAATTTTTGCATAAAGTGGCGCTTAGACGCACTCCGCTCAGCGTCCGACATTTCTAATTTTATCCATGATGGGCAGATGCGCCTTTCCAAAATTGCGATAACATTTGTCAAAATTTTTCCAACAGTGCTCCTACCCAACGCTATTTGCTTGTCGATGCCTACCGCTTTTTGAAAGCCCCCTTCCGCTAAAAAACGCAATGTGCAGGCCAACTGAATAGAACTTGGTATGGATGATAACTTAACGTGCGGTGTTACGACTTTTACCAGCATGCAAAAAGCATCTTTGTTCACCCTGTAATAATTTATAAAGCTAAAAGTATTCGTTATTTTTCGTTGTTTCATCCAGTATGAATTAGCCACTTACGTCGACTCATTCAAATCTAACGGATTGCTGCAATCTCTTAAAATCCGTCTTTTTATTTTTTCATTTGTGTGACTATTATTTTCAGCTGCCACCAATGCTAACATTCCGAACATTTTATAAAAACTGTTTTTTTTTTATTTTACTTATTAAAATTTAAAAATTTCACTTAAGAGCATTGAATATTTTACAAAACGTCAACAAATAGATGTTTAAATTCATTTTATTCATTTTGAGTTCATTTTGAAACCGCATGAAAATATTCGATTTCTGGAACACCCAAAACGGGTTCATTCCGTTTCAAATTGAATTTCGATTTGAAATGAAGTCGAAATTCAGAGCATGCCTGAATAATGCAAACCATGATGACCCGTAAAATTACCCACCGACAACCTCAGTACAGTATTACGTCCGTAGTTCAACGGACGCACCAGTTATTTAGACTGACAGATTACCTTGCGTGAATGGCAACTTCTTTCAGCTACAAATCATTTCCATATCAGAGGTCCTGCTGTGGGCCAACTAATACCACTATTACTAAAAAAGAATAATAAAGAACAGCGTGTTTCATCTAGTTCTTGTTCGAAGGAAGCTAGTACTGATTTATACATGTTTATTAAGCAGAAATTCTTGAAATTTTAACATCCATTAAGTTTCATTAAGTTTCAAAATACGGACGAAATGTTAAGATCACCATGGTAGCCAAGTTGCACTTAAAGGACTAATAAACTCAATTATATTATCAAAATTGGTCTATGCAAGCAAATGTGGGTTAAATTATAGCAGTAGACGCAATGACTTCATTTTCCAGTAACGAAATACTAGATGAACTCGCAAGGCCTTGTTTTAATACTGTATCTTGCGGATGGCAACTATTTCTGGGCCTGCTTAAAAATATTGTGAGACGATTGGATAGAATATAAAACATTTAATTGATGTTAAAATTAGATTTAAATCAGTGAAAATCTTATAGTTTTCGTTATGATTTTATGTACAGGAACTAATTTACTAATTTGCTGTAATTACTGCTCATACCACTTACGACAAACTGATCCTCTAATATCTTCTTTATTTTGAAAATATCATTGAAAATTTTCCACGGTTTTGTGCAGTTTTCTTAAGACTTATGTATAACGTGTTCGAGCCTGACGTTCATATACATTTTCTTCATTTCTTCAAAATCGATCGAAGATTTTTTTAAAAGTTCCGTAGTCGGGTTCAAAATATAATAGACGGTGTTTATAGATAGAGTACCAATACCTATTTATCGTTTTATTAGCCCTTTAGTGATTACTAGTTTCAGTTGGCTAAAGTTTTAAACAATGGGTTTTATTGCTCTCTAACTGCAGAAAAAAAGAAGGTGTATATAAAAGGAGTTGCAAAAATACATGACCTATTGTTATAAATTTTACTGCCAAAGTATTTCAAACTGTTTCAAATTATGTAGCTTAAGTCATTGCTAGTATGAAGTCAACTAAAGCAGAGTAAATTTAAAAAAATACAAGTGACATGTTGACGCTTAATAAAATCCAAATAGATAGTGAAATACAAAAGTAACAGATGAGACACTATTTTTGAATACCAGATTGACTCAAAAAACTATTGTTAGTATTAAGCTAAAGATCAAAAGGAAACATGATGAAATCAATTATCACTTCACGTCTCTTTGATCAGGTTTGTTGCTGGCACCACGAGTAATCGAAAATTATTCTTAGTTAATCTGTATGTTTCAACTGTATATTTAAGCAATATAACCATTCAAATTTTTTGCAGTTACAGGAAGAGAAAATGGATTATTTGTTATTTTACCCACAAACTTAATTTTTATTAAATAAACCTGAACTTATAAATTATAGATTGATCATTAGATATAATAATAAAGATCTGATCGTGCAGTGGTAGTTAATTATTATTGTTAGGGGAAGTGGCACTGCTACCATCGGGTCTATTGTGCCCTTTCTGGTCTTAGAGTAGGTCTTAAAGCCCTGTTGCGTCAATCAAAAGTAGTATAGAGCCTACCTACTTTACAGATTTTTATTGCCTCTTCCGTAAGAATATACATTCCTAGGAACCTATTTGGCATGTGCACTAGCGCAGGGCATTCTAACAGTGCAGTTATTTATGTTATTTCTTACAAAGTGTTTTGAAAGTCATTAAAACTTTAAATAAGTGAATTATACGTAATGTTGAAATTCCCCTCCTCCAAGCAAATCTCAACAACTTGTGGTGTCAACTTTCCGTCATTCAATCTACAAATTGCATAACTGAAAGTGATTGAAGCTCGCGTGTGCAGTTTAAACGCTGCATTTTGGTATGCAAATTCGAAGTGCGGTTATCTGTGTTAATTAAATTTATGCAAAAATTGTTAATAAATGACAAGTTTATTCATGCAAACATTTAACCATACAAGACAGGTTCACTGGCTCTTCAGGCACCCGTAGCTCGAACCACCCAACAAATTCAACCTGGTAATTAAAATCAATTTTAGTTAATAGCGCGCTTAAACTATTTAATTTTAATATTTATATCAAATATGTCGGCAAGTACGGCAAGAGTATTTAAAAAAGTATTAAAAAATAAATTACATTTTTTTTCTTACAAAATTTCACGCTTTTTCATGTAATTTACACGGCGCGATTCGTTAACGAAAAATCCCACGCTTTTGCTTCAAATTTTTAAAAATTTGCATGCGATTGCGAGTTTTTGCTCTGGTGTGGCGAATATACGTGAATTACGTAAAGTATCTTACGTTTCTGTTACTCGGGGTTTTTTCAGCCTTAAATGATTGATTAGAATAAATTTTATGTGTTGTAAATTTTTAACTTATGCTGTGGCTAATTTGTTACAAATAATTTCGTTTTCTCACGCTTCATTTCCTATCAACTAAAAACTGAAACAAAATTTTGATAATTTAATTAAAATGGAGTTTCTACTGCCTTTTTGAGATAGTATTTTAGGCCTAAACATAATACAATTAAATACTAATTAACATGCCGTAACAAAAGATATTATTTAACGGTGTTTTTGATAAGTTCCGCACACGTTTTCGTTTAGAGTTTTGGAGATTTTGATTGAGAGAATGGATTGTTCTCTGTTAAAAGTCAACCTCAATGTCAATCATTAGCACCTTTCAATTGCTTTGGAAAATAGCCAAAAATTGTAACAATAAAAAAATTTACGCTTTGTTAAATTAAAAACTCAGACGCCGCTGTAAATTGAAAATACCAACAACAATAAAAATTCGGAAAAAAATTGACCAAAAATTGCTGTAGGGTCTGAGCTGAACTCTTGAAATGCAGTCGTGCGTTTTAGTCATTAATTTTCATTCATTAGCTAAACATCAAAGCATTAAGTTTATTAAGCAAAATTATTAACAAAAAGCAAATTTAAGCTGCAAATACCGCAAGAAAACACTTTTCAAATTTTAAAGTTTGATCGCTGAAGTCTGTATTTTGGGTTTCTTTTTTAAATCATGACCCAATTTATTTAAATTTTTTTCTTCTTCAATTGTTTCGGGGTTATACATTTACTCACCTTCTACACCTTAGAACTATGACCATTATAATAGCACCTATAAGAGCTGATATGATTGAAACTATGATTAAAGTAAACGCCCAGCCAAGCTCACCAGCGGGATCTGTAAGCAAAAGTTGAAAATGTTGAAAAAGTGAGTAAAGGGTTAACAAATATTTAAATAATACTATAATATATATAAAGTTAAATAAATATTTAAATATTTTAAGTAAATATCGGGTGTTTTTTTAACTGCATGAGAACTATCGATATCGATAACTGTGGTTTGACAGTTGAGAATGTCAAACTGTCTTAACATTTCAGTTCAGTAAGGTTTGGCAATTCATCGTGTATCGTTTAACGCTAGAACAATGCTTTGAAATTATGGATATTTACTTTAAAAAAAAGTAAATCAGTTTGATAAGTTCACAGAGCATTACTTCTTGAGTGATGAAGGTCAATTCCGGTCAAATGGCCACGTCAATAAGTGAAATTGCCGTAAGTATATGGAACCGTTAACGAATCACCATTATATCCATTAAAATTGACTGTTTAGTTCGGCATCATCGGAGCTGCGAATAGCAGGCGCTATCCAGCCAAGCTGATTGCATTTTTGTTCCCAAAAATTTAGTTCCAACGAGACGGCGCGTTTAACAATCGATTTATTGCGAAATCAATTTGATAACAACTTTATTTCCAGTAGTGATCCTGTTAAACGGCCCTCTCGAAAGTGCGATTTAATACCTCTCTATTAATTTTTATGGGGCTATGTTAAGTCATTGGTTTATGCCAATAGCCGACAAACCAGCTACTCTTGATGCATTTGAAGCCAATGTTCATGCCAGCATTGAAGCTATACGGCCATATTTATTGCAAAAAATAGTCAAGGATCGAACTAATCGATTATCGGATACACAGATCGTCAAATAAATGAATTATCGAATAAGAAGATTATGGAATAAGTAGTTTATCGAATAAGAAGATTATCGAATATGTAGGTTATAGTATAAGAAGATTATTATATAAGTAGATTATCGAATAAGTACATTCAATTCAAGTATCGAATATGAAGGTTATAGTACAAGTAGATTATTGTATAAGTAGTTTATCGAATAAGTACATTCCATTCGAGTACTCCCATTATTTCAATCAGGTTAGTGAAAAAAATGATTTCTTTGATATTGAAAACTCATTGCATCTAGTTTTGAAAAGAGTTATATTTAGAGTTGTATTTATTTGTTTTAATTATTCTCTTAAAACTTTTGTTTAAAACGTTTTCTTATATACCTACTCGATATATATGTATATACCTTTAAGAAAAACACTCAAAATAGTAGAGATTTATCATAGCCAAGCTACAATTTATCCAGACAAAAAATTTTCTGGGTCAAGTTCGAAGTATCAAAACTCTTGGCAGTGCCACAGACCACAGGTCAGTCGGTATAAATATCCAAAAATTGGGTGTTTGTTTCAATCAGACAACAGGAGCTGCAAAAAGGAAGAGGAAAAGAAATAACTGAAGATTTTGATTGTAAGTGGCAAGATGAAGATATTTTACAATGGAAGTTTACGAACTAATAAATCTGGCGTATATTTCAAACATAGTTCTTCAATACAGAATTTACCTATAATAATGATTTATAATATATAATAATGATGAGTGGTATGAAAATGGTGAATAAGCGTTACTTGAATAGTAGAGAAAGCTCTGTTGCAACTAAAAGTAACAGAACTTATGAACATATTATTAACTTTAATTACTCAAAATGCATTCCATTTAACTTTCCATTTTATTTGAGATTGAAAATATCTGTTATATTTAAGTATAGTTGTGATTAGAGGAAGAATATTATTCATACAAGTCTTTGGATGTTTCAGACATAAAAGGAAAGTATTTAGTTTATAAACTCTATTTTCACAATTCAGTGAAAAACTCAAATGTTTCGCCTATTCCACTATAAAAATGAATAGATAAAAATTAATTGTTTATTTTATCGCTGAAAATATTTATAACGAAATATTTCAAACGTTAGCCTCGTGTAGTGAAATTCGTTAATCCCGGAAAATACCTATAAAGTCTCTTGCTATACCGAAACTCGAAAAGAGCTCGAAACGTGTACTACTATTTTACGTTGTTAAAATTTATGAGTGTCCTCTTATCACAAAGTGCCCATCTAAGTCACAAAAATGCCAAAAGGTTAAATGCGACCTCTGCAAAAATACACAAACTAAAACAACAAAAACAACAATAACAAGAACAGCAATAATAATAACAACAACAACAACCACAAAAAGAAGAAGGACAGCAACAAGAACTCATCAAAGCAATAAACATTTCAACTCGTTGAGCTGTTATCCTTTTTTTACACTCGTAAAGAAAAAAAGTGTTTAAGTCGGCAAAGTTGAAAAAGGTAATAAATACGATAGAGAGCAAGGCGAAAAGGTATACACTGCAAAAAAAAATAGAAAAAAAAGAAAATGCTACTAAAACATTGTAGGAATAACAGAATATAACGAAAGCCTGGCAGTAAAACGAATTTGACCTCGTTTTTTAGGACATTTTCATTAAAATTTAGTCGTTTTGCAGAAGACATTGAATTACTGAAATATTTATGCGCCATCGGTAAAGCGGCTGGTGGTGGTGGTGGAAGAGTAGGGGAGAGGTTACTATCTAGATAGTGCGATAATATTAATACGGATTCTGTATGTTGAGTTGGATTAAACGTTCTGTTCATTTTAATTGCCGTGAAAATGCAGAAGTTAAGCTTTAATGAGAAAAAAGGGGTAAATAATTTTGAATAATTAATAAAATAAATAGCATAAGAAAGGAGCGGAAAAAAAATCGTTCTCTATAATTTTAAGAAAACGTCTAAAGATTTCAGAGTAGTGACAGTGAAAAGGAAGTCCGATAGCATCTCAAACGGAAGTTGATGGCATTACCCGAAAAAGAGGCGCATAAGCTGCCATTTTAATAATTAAAGATACTCGTAGATGCCTCAAAGCTCGCACAGTCGGGGTTACTCATATGTATGCTCGGTTATGGGAAATGTGAGAGGTCACATTTTGCCATATCATCCACAAAATCTACATACCGACTAACTCTAAAACAATCAAGGAAAGGGCCACATTACATACCACGTACATTATCCATAATAAAGTGTTCAGTAATTAAATATTTTGAGCAGTCATTGAACAAATTAAATTGTCTACTTTACAATGAATTTGTGGAAAGTAAATTACAGCTTACGAGCCGAGCGGTACGGTAAGCGGTAGGCATAATTGTTGTAACGTACCATTTGAGTTGTTGTAAAATGTAATAAAATAATTATAATAAAAATTACATTGTTTTTTTTTTTTCTTCTACTTATGAATGGCAGGTCTCTGCTGTTTTATGTAGCGGCGGGCGAAACAATAACTTGACTAATGGTTTTTTAAATAGACAAACTCATAAATTATGCCTCGCAAAACAAAAACAAAAACAAAATATAAAAATATAAAATGTAATAATACTTAAAGGTGCCGCATGTTTCAAAAGTGTTTTAGACTTTTCATTCACATTTTGTATCTCACCTTTTTTTAATTTTTTTTGTTTTTTTTTTTATAATTCTTTTAGCATAATTTATTAAACCCTAAATTTTATTTATGTTGCCTTTTAGTTCATGGCAGCAACGGGTACCTCTTATTTTTTATGGTGCCATCATAAAACGGTCTCGGATAGATTTTAATAACAAAAGCTTGTTCACACATAAAAATGTCTATTTTTCACTTCGCTTCAGTTTATGACCCCCGTCTCCAGATTTATCTGCAATAATTTTGTGTTCAACATGACAATTTCTGTCTGCCGTTCATTCATATGAGCCCAGATTTTATTGTTATTTTTATTCGTTCTTATTGCGATTTAGATTGCGGTGCAACAAGTGCAAAATGAGCTTTAGATACTTAGGAATCTAGATATAAGTAATTTGTATCTTATATGTTTAGTTCAAACATATTTAGGTATATTAAAAAAGTGGATATTTGAACAATGAAAACTTTGCACAGCTTGGGCTCGCTTGGTTTAAAGACAAGGGTAGTCATTCCTTATACATTGTAAGCGCAAAAAAATATATTTTCCAGTATGGATATTCTATATTTTAGTATTTAATTTTAATAATATTTATTTTGACTTGTAAAAAATTTGCAGATACGAAAAGTTTAGTAATGACTTTTCGTATTACTTTAGTTATTTTCGTTTAGTTATGATTGCAGTCACAGTTATTAATTGTTGTTGTTTTTAATGTAAAATTATAACAGCTAACAATCCTTTTCATTTTAATGACTGTGACTGCAATCACAGTCCCTAAAAGGCCCCTAAAAGTTGCCCGCGTTTCTTACCACAGTTGAATGACAAGCTGATCTTGAAAATCGATTAAAATGTTAGTTTATTGAATATCAAATATATATATATTTGTTTTAGCTTATATATGTTGTTTAATAATATTTATTAAAAATCCCAGTTTATTTAAAAAATATTCTAAATTTATGCCTAAAATGGCAATTTGGATCAGTGTACATTAACAGGTTCAAAGCCTGGCATTAAGTCTGACATTTGTATAACTATATAACTTAAATAAAAAAAAAATGAATGTTTTTAAAAACTACTCGGCAATACTGATGACTACTCGGCAATACTCTATAAATTTGTATAATCAGAAAAAAAACTCAATTAATTAAAATAAAATAAAAAATGAAATTTTGTTGTTGTAATTCACTACTATTCAAAAACCCTTCCATTAGTAGTATAGTTTTCTTTTGTCATAATTGACTTTAAAAATAAAATTTGTTGTTTTGATTATTATTATATCTTTCATATATACTATTCTGAATGAAAGGTACTATAGTAACGTCAAGATTTATACGATGAAGAGTAAGGGTCGTAGATAACCCTATTATTATGACATATTAAACTAGAAAATAAAGTTATGACTTTAGAATTTAGAATATCGACCAAAAAACTTTTTCTATCTCTTCATTTAATTCATCCCGAAGATTTTTTGGTAATCCTTTTTGCGCATGTTGGTTTTAGGCCTCCAATCTTGTCTACCCGAGGTTCTCATTCAAGTGCAGTATATGAAAAAGCATTTA